TTCCGATCTGTAGATATTTGTTTCAGATATTTAGATGCACTAATGTTGTACACAGAGATATTTATAATTGTCATATATCTTTCTGATGCATTGACCTTTTATCATTATATAATGACCTCCTTTGTTCCTTGTGACAGTTTTTGACTTAGCATCCATGTTCTCTGATGTAATTCGGTGTCCCTATGAAAGGGGAAATTTTGGACACAGGGAAAATCGTAAATGGAGATTAGAATTATGTGGCTGCAGACCAGAAGATGGGAGAGAAGGCTGAACTAAATCATTCCTTAACAACTTTAGAAGCACTGGGGACCTGAGGATACCATGATGTTGGACTTCTGGCTTCTAAAACTGTCATACAGTAGATTTCTTTTTTGTTATTGTTGTTAAACTACATTATATACCTTTGCTATGACAGCCCTAGAAAAATAATACAGACATGAAAACTATCAAATCAAGTTTGGTCCCTTAAGAAATAGTGATAAAAGTGTGGGGGGGAAGGCAAGAGAATCCAGCTGCAGATATGCAATGTCTCCCTGAGTCATTCATTGGCCTTAGAAAGAAATATGCAGATGAATACTGATGTCTGGGTGTCTCTGAGAATGTTTTAAATGGGTTCATTTTTTTTTTTCTGGAACTTAAAGTCCTTCAAGTGGTCCACAGTTTGGTTCAATGTTGAAATAAACTGAGACCAGGGTCATAGTATGAGCAAACTATATTGAGTATATGAAGAACATGGGAGTAAGGAAAAGAATCTTATTCATATTGAACGGTTATTAGAACACAATCAATGAGGGTAAGGAAGTCAGGGCTTTTTATATTGAGTAGTAAGTAGCAACCAGCTTTAATAGAGATAATAGAGCCAGAGTGAAGAGGAATCTGGGGTTGTTGCCATGTTCTTCTGAATTCTGAGAGACTCTTGTTGCTAGGAAGCTCAATCTAGAACTCAATCAAATGAGAGACAATTGAAGGAGAGAGGATTCATATTTCTCGAGAACACTCATGAATGAGTGTTCTCGAGAAAGTCTTTGTTGGTGGGTGTCAGAAATGAGACATGAAGAGGGCTATACCTAGAAATAATCATGGGAATCATCACTTCATCTGTTGGTAAGTCATTCAAGAGTTTAGCTCTAAAGAAGATAAACTCGAATAATGAGGACATGAATAAACACACACACACACACCAATAAAACAATTAGTTCTTGGCAGTTATTCAGATCTTGAAGAGGATTATGCACTTTGCAAATTCCTTTTCTACTTTATTTGGTGGAGACACTGTAAACCATTTTTAATGTATTGTTACTCAAGTTTGAAAACACTATCTATTAGAGGTTGAGATGGTAATTAGAATGCAGAGATTGATGGATTTGATGAGCTTTGATATGCGAGGGAGAGTCAAGTTTGAGGCCTCTGTACTATTATGATATTATTCCACTTTATGAATGAAAATGTTATATTCCCTCAGTGTCTTCACTTCTGTAGTCACTGTATAAAACAATGTCATAAGTGAAAAGAGTCTGTCTTGAATTTTCTTTTCAGTTTGTTTTCCTATCACCTGCTTGAAAGGTGAGGTCTTAAGAATCCATTCTGACAGATTTATTTTAGTTCAGTCTCAAAAAATGCACACAAGAAATCAATGATTATTTTCCATCACAACAAAAACCTACACACCTTCATAATACATATAAAGACAGACATGGATAGCAAAGAAGCTGATCAGAATTTTACTCATGATTTGGAGAAGTTATCCTTAGAGGTGTCCTTTACTGACATTTCTTACTCCTGTGGGCTTTTGGCATTCCATGAAGTAATCCTCTTCTTTATTTTATTTGATTACTTCCTCAAACAATCAAGGTGCTAGTCTCACTTTAAAGATCTGGATAGTGTGGAGCCTCAAATAGGTCCCTTGTCTCTTATCTGCAGTGACAAAGAAAAGAAAATTACCTGATCCTGTTTAAAATAGGCATTAAATGTAGAATTCCTGGTTTTACAACTTAAATTACCATGATGAAATTTGATAAAAATAGCAAATTGCAAAACAAAGACAATATTGATTTTCAGATGAGAGTCCTATGTATCAATGAGGAAATTGAGGGGAAAAAAACAGAAAGGAAAACATGTAAACAACAAGGCACAGATTATTTTTTGGTCAGGGTGGTGGGTGGGGTGAGTACTGGGAATTGAACTCAGGGATACTCAACCACTGAGCCACAGGCAAGCCCTAATTTTATCTTTATTAAAGACAGGTTTCATTGAGCTGTTTAGCACCTCCTTAGGCTGGCTTTGAACTCCCATCTTCCTGTCTCAACCTCCCAAACTGCTGGGATTACAGGCATGCACCACTGTGCCCAAAGGCACAGATTACTAAAAGCATGGAAGTATTTAAAATCAATATCTGTGATTTCATCTTTAGGCTGAGCTATCAGGCTATTTGTATGTCTCCCTCACTTACACATCCTCCTAAATAGACTGTACTGTGATTTATTTCCCCAGAATAATTGGCATTGTGTTACCACAGTGGTGAAAGCATTAATTTAGACTCGGTGGAGCACTTTGGCCAACAGTGTTTAAACCAATGGAGTCTAGAGCTGGGGTATGGGGATGACAGGTCTATGATGGAAACTTGAAAAGTGGGAAAACATGGAAGGAAACTTATGTGCATCCTATATGAAACTGATAAATAATATTCATTTAAGAATAAAGTTATGGCTAACTAATATGTGAGAGTTAAGATGGCCAAGCATCATGACAATGATATAGGACACAGCTTTCAGTCAATGGCTCAAAACTGTTGAGCACAAGTTGTAACGGTAACAAAAAAACACCTGGGAGCTTGTGGTTGCCCACATGCTTGCTAAATGCACGGAGAGCATGGAAAAGGTTATTGGTGGAGAAGAAAGTAGGAGTAGGCACCCAATATGTTCTGGCTTGTGCAGGATTTATCGGGAGGTTGAGGAAGGAATAAGGAAGAATAGTAGATAATGGTGGAAGGAGATGGTTGCTAGTTTTCTGGTTTGGAAGTGGCTTTGGCAACCAAAGCAAGGTAAGACTGAATATCTGATCTGTGTGACAAAGGGACTTCTGAGAAAGGAAGACATCTCCTCTGGTGGGCTTCCCAATGTTGACTTACAAAATTATGTTAAATTAACTAGGAAAAAAGTGTTCTCCATAAAGAAGTGTTAATAGAGGAGAGACTGCTGCTGTTTCATGAGTGAACAATTCCATAAGTGACCAGAAAATGATTCTGGGGAGAGAGAAAACTTTAAAGAACTTAGAATCAAGATCAAAGAAAAATTAAGGAGAAATGTGTCCTGGGTCCAGGAGGCGAGAGGTCCTGGGTCCAGACACTTTTGTGTGTGAATTTCCTACTGTGGGAAGTGGTGTTTCATCAGGGTGTTTTAGATCCCTCTTTGCAGATTCCACATTTCTCTGCTGCCATTGTTGCTCTTTCTCCCCCAAACAGTGTGGTGGTTCTCAATCTCATCACTTTTATGATATTATTGCTATGGTATTAAATGTCATGAAAACTATGGATACTCTCACAAGGTCAAGAAAAACAGGTATTTTTATATGGAATCTATTGAATGCAATGTAACAGATTCTTAAACTATATGTTTGCTGCAAACACTGTGGAAATGTATGTTCCATATCATTAACCTGTATCATCTTTTGATGTTTCCCAGGTGTGCCATGCAGTATCTGCATATTCTGCAGATACTGATAACAAAGCAACAAATCAGTATTATTGGCTAGGCAGTGTGCTATTATCAGATTTCTCATTTGTGCAAATTAGCACTTCCTTAGCACCTCACCCAATAGAACCTCCTGAGTATATTTGTATTACCAAAATTATTGTTTAATCTGTATTTTTGTATGTGTTGTCATTTCTGAGACAAATCCATTGGAAAGTTGAACGTGGAGCTGATTTCCTCAGCATCCTGAAATGCCAGGGATTTTGATGTCTTTGCTCTGGTACAGCATCACCTGCACTGAAGCTTACCTTATCACCTGCACCATCCTCCCAGGGTTTATTGATTTTTTTTTCCTTTCTGAAGACACTTTATTTTGCTTTTAGTACCTTCTCTTTTCCAACTGTTACTCTTCCAGCTAGTTTGCTTTGTTTATTTTTATAGGGTCCCAGACTTTGAAAAATATTATTTTATATGAGTGTAATCACATATAAATACCTTTGAGTGAAATGTGTCAACCCAAGGTACTCCCCCTTCCAATTCCACGATTGCTTGTTTTAATGCCGTAAAGTATCTATTATAAGCAGATTTTATTACTTTTGAAGGATAATTGATGCTTTGACATTGAAATCTGACAGGATTGGAGGAATTTTGAACAAATCATTAGTTGCATGGAAGTCCATATTAAGAATCATGAAGAAAAGTAATGTATGTGAGAATTGTTTTACATATTTCTCATGAGTAATGTGACTAAATAATCCTTAGAAATAGGAAGGAAAAACTATTGTTACTTATTCCAATCCAATTCATATAAATCCAGATTCCCTCATCAAAACAACTTCTATATTCACCTTTACATTCAGACTCTTGTTTTAAATATTTATTGTGGAAATGTTCTCACATACTCATATACTTAGAGAATGGTATCATGAACCCACGTCTCCTATATCCGTGTTTGGCAATTTTCAACCAGTGGCCAGTTGTCATTCTTTTCAACTCCCATAATCTGATTCTGCATCACCAAAATTAAGAGAAAATCCAATGCAAAATATCTAGTCATGCCCTAAACTAAACACTAATGCATTTGAGCCCATACCCTGCTGTTCTCCTCTACCTTGGCCTGTTGATAATTTAGCCACCCCATCTCTGCCCTTCTTTTTATTTTATTTTTTCTTTTAGTTCTGTGGCTCTGATGGATTGACTCTGAAGGAGACATCCCATTAAGGGTCAGTGCTGCTTGCAACCAAGTCAAAGGGAGGAGACAGGACAACAGCACCTCCTGCCCTGCCTCTTTGCTTCCAGTCACAAACCATGATGGCTGTGGGTGAGGCCCTGGTGCATATGAGGATCACTCTCCTGAAACTCTGCCTGAGCATCTTGCTCTTCCTTTCTGGATGGGCCCAGATTGGGCACTCTCAACACCATAGCCCCCCAGAAGTAGTGATACCCTTGAGGATAACTGGCACCCATAGGGTCATGAGACCCCCTGAATGGATATCCTACAGTCTGTACTTTGGAGGCCAGAAACACATTGTCCACATGAAGGCCAAGAAACTTCTGGTGTCCAAACCCTTCTCTGTGTTCACCTACACAGACCAGGGTGCTCTGCTCGAGGACCACCCTTTTGTCAAAAGTGACTGCTACTATGATGGCTATGTGGAAGGGGACCCAGAATCCCTAGTTTCTCTTAGCACCTGTTTGGGGGGCTTTCAAGGAATGCTAGAGATCCATGACATTGTTTATGAAATCAAACCCAAAAGACTTTCTACCACATTTGAACATCTGGTTTATAAGATGCAGAGAGAGAAGACACAATTCCCATTTATGAGATGTGGACTAACAGAAGAAGAACTAGCACGACAACTGAAGCTTCAAAGGAGTAATAATTCCATTCTGAGGCAAAGTGGCTATGAAGGGTGGTGGACCCACAAATGGTTTCTAGAAACAGTTTTGGTTGTAGACTATAAGCGATTCCTTTATAAGAAAAGTAATGTCTCACATGTATTAGAGGACATATTTGTCATTGTCAATCATATACATTCCCTTTTAAGTCCATTGGATGTTGATTTGTGTTTACTTGGAATTGAGGTCTGGAATGAAAAGAATCTTCTCAATGTCACTAATGACATGGTTCAAGTCCTGGATCTGTTTTGCGACTGGAAGGTAGCCAGTCTAAATTCTCGCATAAAAAATTATATTGCACATTTTCTGGCACACCAAACTTTTGATAGGTATATTGGCTTAGCCTATGTTGGAACTGTTTGTATACCTCCTTATAATTGTGGAATTGAGAGTTTCCTGGGAGATAAATTGTATGATATTTCACTTATCATAACACATGAAATGGGTCATAATCTGGGTATGAAGCATGATACACCAGAATGTAAATGCGAGCATCGTGTTTGTATCATGCATGCATCAGAAATGGAAGGCTATAGATTCAGCAATTGCAGTTATGCTCAAATTTGGAGTACCTTTCCAGTTCTGAATTGTATGCACAATGTACCAAACCAAGCAGACATCATCAGGTGGACAGTCTGTGGGAATGGTGTGGTTGAAAGAGGAGAGGAATGCGACTGTGGATTCCCAACTTTGTGTTCAAACCATCCATGTTGTTCGGAAAACTGCACTCTGAAATTTGGGACTGAATGTGCCTCTGGGCTTTGTTGTGAAGACTGCCTTCTCTTGCCACCAGGTAAAGTGTGTAGAGAAAATGTCAGTGAGTGTGATCTTCCAGAGTGGTGCAATGGCACCTCACCTGAGTGTCCAGAAGATGTGTATGTGCAGGATGGGGTCCGTTGCATGGACAGTGGCTACTGCCATGAGAAGAGATGCAATGCACGTGAC